AATGTTTATTCTTGCCATCTCCTGTTTGACCACATCCAGCTTCCCAAGGTTCATAGATCTTACATTCCAGGTTCCTATGCAGTATTTTTCTTTGCCGCATTGGACTTTCCTTTCACTTCCAGGCACATCCACAGCTGAGCGTCCTTTTGGCTTTGGCCCAACCACTTCATTAGCTCTGGAGCTACTTCTACTTGTCCTCTGCTCTTCCTCAGTAGCATGTTGGATGCCTTCCGACCTGAGGGTCCCATCTTCCAGCGTCATATCTTTTAGCCTTTTGTTTCTGTTCATGGGGTATTCTTGGCAAAGATGCTGAAGTGGCTTGCCAGTTCCTGCTCCAGGTGGATCACATTTAGTCAGAACTTTCCACTATGACCTGTCCGTCTTGGGTGTCCCTGCATGGCATAGCCCATAGCTTCTCTGAATTACTCAAGCCCCTTCGCCACAACAAGGCAGCAATCCATGAAGGAGTAACAAGGTGTTAGCAGGGACTAAATTGGGGACTTTTTTTTTTTTGGCCTTCAGTGGATGAGTTTTTTTTTTTTTGGTTTTTTTTTTTTTTTTTTTTTTTTTTTTTTTTTTTGGCCTTCATAGCATGAGTTCTACCTCATGGAACTCTACCACACTGGGAAAGGTTATTGGTCTGTCTTGCTTGCTATTATCTAGGAACCCAACTGGCAACAAGGTCTCAGGCAAAACTGTTTTCTTTACCAGCCTTGCTTCTTTTATATTCTGGGGGCTTTACAGGCACATTGTGGGCCCAGGCGGTCTAGTTAACTTCTAGCCCACCACTGGAGAGCCTAAAACGACGGGATGTTCTTAAACCTTTGCCCCAGTGTGCCCCAGCTAGCTTGGCCAAGGGTGAAGTATGATGGGAGCAATATATTACATATTTCAGTAGGCAAATTTATATCCTGTCATGATTTGTGTTATTGGTGATACGGTACTTATATCCTGCCCACCAGCAACTCCAGGCAGTGCACATGACTGTTCTCCTTGACAATTTGTCCTTACTACAAGATAAGTCAGGCTATGGGATAGTAGCTCATCATTCATCTTTCTGTGGCTAAGTAGGGACTTGAGCCATGATGTTCCAAGTTCCTAACTCCCAAGTTACACACATCACACTGGTCTTCCGAAATTAGGGTTAGGAACATCTGGGGAACCAAAGGTTCCCTGCCCAGGTCTAACATGTACTCTCATCTTAGGAAATAAAAACATCCAGTCTCATGCATAGAAAATATTGAGATTTAAATTATGTGGATGAAAAAAACTATAACATTGGGTTAAGTTCAACATTTGAGCTAGTAGAAGTCTTCCGTCACTTTCCCACTCTCTTCTCCCCCCCCCTTCCCGCTTTAAAATCTCCTGAAAAGGATGTTCCAATTATTCTCCTGAGGAGATTTTTGAGGACATAGAAGCAGCAGCCTGGGTGGCAGGAGGAGCAAAGCCTCCTGCTGGTTCTGTTAACTTAACACAGTAATATCACTGGATCAAGCCCATGATCGCTAGGATCATAACCAACATGATAATTTTGCTTACACTTCTTCCTTCCTGCAATAAGTATTTCAGGAAGCCCTGTGTCCCTTTAAAGAACATGATGACGTCAAAATATTTTAAATAAAATAAAATAAATTTACAAGTATGGATGCTAGAAACTGAGGCTGTCTTACTTTGGGCACAGGTTTCTCTGGAAGGCAGGTTTTCTGGAAAAGGCAATAATGCTGGGAAAGGTGGAAGGCAGCAGGAAAAGAGGGAGACCCAACATGAGATGGATTGACTCCATAAATGAAGTCACAGGCTTGGTTCACAAGAGTTCAGCAGGGCTGTTGAGGACAGGACATTTTGGAGATCACTCATTCACAGAGTTGCCATAAGTCAGAAGTGACTTGACAGCATGTAACAACAAGTAGGCTTAGGGGGGTGTTTTTGCTGGATGTCATGCTTGTGCAAAATGGTGTTTTAGGTTTAGAAGTCATGTAACAACAACAAGTAGGCTTAGGGGTTTTTTTTGCTGGATGTCATGTTTGTGCAAAATGGTGTTTTAGGTTTAGAAGACTTAACGACTTGTCACGACTAAAGCACTGCTCTCTGCTCAAATATATCACCCGTCACAATTTGCCCTATGAAGTAGGTTGTGCTTTATTATTGCCCTTGACTACTTATCAATGCTGGGCTTTAATTTCCAACCCCTGGAAAGACAGTAGAGTCTTCAGCAGAAGCTATCCTCACCCATTTTACTGAGTTGCATCTAATTGCATCTTGTTCACTTTGAGTGCTTTTAAACTTCAAAGGCCAGCGTTGGAATAAAAAAACAAAACAGAAGAACCTCTTTCTTCGCATTGATTATGTAGCGAGTCTACTCGACAAAAGAGAATTGTAATAAGCCTTGGCAGTTTGCGGCTTACAACCATCATCTTGTTAGCAGCACATGGCATGACTTGCTAAGGCTGGAGCTACAGAGCAAGTACCCTGACGTGTGCCTGATTGCCGAGGAAGAGGCGAGGCAGGGCTGCTTCTAGAGACAGGAAAAGATTATTTTCAAGATTAAAACTCCCTGAATCCTGCAGCCATTGGTTGAACATCAAACTCTGGCCATGCCACTGGCCAGGCTGGTTTGGAAACTGAGGGGGTTCTAGCCCAACAGAGCCCACTTTTCCAAGTCTTGCTGGGATCAATGTGGGCTGGATGTAAACCCTACCTTTGTTGTCACTGTCATGGTCAGTCTGCTATAACTTGTACAAGGGGACAGGTGAGAATTTTGTTTAATCCTCTTTTTTGCAAGAACTCTCCAAATATTTGGAAACATCTTAGTTAACTGAACAAAGCTGATGTTTTAAAAAATGTTAGAGGAAGTGAAATAGACTACATGTAAGAATTCTCACCTGCACAGTAATTGTCCACAATACATTATTATACCCCTCTGGATCCTGTGTGACTCATGATTTTTTTTTTCAAATTGGTTTCCATGGACGAAAGCACTGTAGCTGTCCAGATCACAAACTATCTTCAGGATTCAGCAGGTTCAAGGGCAGAGATCTGTGTTTGCCTGGATCTCCAGCATCAGAAACTGCCTTTGACAAGGTGCTAATTGGCAATTTCTAATTTCTACCTCCTTCTAAAATTAATTTTTCCTATTGCCCTAGCAATACTCTGTTCAAGCACTACTGTGAAAGCCTCTTTTAAGAAAACAAACACTATTTAGAGACAAGAGGAACATGGTTGAGAGGAACTGACAACTCTGCAAGCACCTCTTTGCATGGATCAGGTGATCACACAGAGCAGAAAAAAAGTGATGTCAGCCCAGTCAGAGCAAATTTAAACCATCCCTGTCTGCTGAACAAAAAAGGGCAATTCCCCACCAAAAAGAGACAATTCCACAATGGGCGTTCCCTTATTGAACCGTATGCTGTGTAGTTCCCCGGTTTTAATTCCAATTCATCTGTCCAATGCAAATGGCCAATATAATTGTCCCGACTCCAGAAAGTGAGTAAGGCAATAATGGGACTTTCAAGTTGTGATACAGAAGTGATAGAAATAGGAAAATGATAAAAGGAGACTAAAAGGAGGAGGTCATAGAGTGAGGAAAATAATAAAGCAAAGGTTGACTACATATTTTCTTTGATAGTGTTTCCTGTATCACTCAAGCATTTTAAATCTTAACACCTCTTTGCAAGACTGTTTGCATTTCTAATTAAAAGCTAGAAATTGCATTTCATCTGGCTGAAGATCTTTTGTTAAAGTTTAATGTGTTTTACAAGTTGAACATAATACAATTGGAAATAAGCAGCACGATTGAGTTCGTTGAAGCTTACTCCCAAGATTGCAGTGAGATGTTATTAAGGGTTGGATGGCTTAGGGTGTCTGGGTTTTCTTTATGATGGAGCTTTTAACCAGGGAACATGCATTCTCCTTGGGGACACGGCTATGAACCTTGTCGTGATTCGTCCCCACAACCTTTGCCACAAGCAATGATTCCACAGTTTTATAGCTATGATGAAGTCTTTGCTTTTCCTTCTAGCTGGTTTAACTCAGCCAATCTACATGGGGAGCATATGGCCCCAGGGTGGGGGCGGGGGTGGGAGCCACAGAGAACCCACCCAAGTCATTTTGCTACCTGATATGCAGCAGCCAATGTCACCCCCACCATCTTAAATTAAGGCACCTGGTGCAGAGAGCTAGACATGATTATGGCATATAGGATTCAAAGTCACACAGCCACCTCTTTAGCCACAGAAATACAATATGAATAAAATGAATAAGTAACTATTTGTTGCTGACTTGTGATGTTGAAAATCTGCAACTTGAGGCAACCGCCTCATTTTTCTCACAGTACAGCCAACTCTGTTTAAGAGACCTGAACTTTTTCTGAAAGTTAGTAAATAATGTGAGAAGAGATTCTGCTCTTGCCATGGAGCCTGGATAGGTGGAGGCAAGCACCCTAAAACACAAGTTACCTCTATTTTGCTTTCCAGTCATGCATTGTAAAGGGATGCCAGTAGTTAGGCCAGAACTTTGAATTAATAAAATAAAAATCAATTTGTTTGGATAATGAACATATTTACATTTGTTTGTTTTAATTCTTAAACGGCAACAACTTTTTTTAGGTAAGGATTTTTATTTCACAGTACCTCAGTTCATATAGGGATTTGGCTAACTGGGCCATTTTGCCCACTTGGAATTATTGCTACCAATTTAATGATTATCAGTGTTATTGACATTTATTAGCGGGGGGGGGAGGGATCATTTATAGGTTCTCCCTAACATTTTAAGGTTTGGCGAACTAATTATTCCCTTCAGTGATTTGATGTTAATGCAGCAGAACTGACACTTCTAAGCTCTGAGCTAGGCCTACAAAAGAGTTTTCTGTTGTTGGAAGTGTAGTGATCAGAGACAAGATGTCTGGCTCCTACTTGAAGAAGGGGCCAGTATCCTCAATGGCACATCATTTTTTAAATGCTTTTTTAGTATAACTTTCTTTTCTCCCTCCCCTCTGCTTCCAGTTGGATTAAGAAGGATTCAGAAAAATGGGATGAGCAGAACCCTAATTACCCATACAAGGTATGTGAGAAATTGATTACTCCTCCTGAGAGCCAACATAATAAAGAATGATAATTAATACTGGAAGAACCAGTGACAGCTCCAAGAATTGTGAAGAACACTACTCCCTCACTTGCCCTTTTTAGACATAAACTGCACACAAAGGTTAAGACTTTGAGCAGGAGGCTGCCAAGAATGGCAGCTGTCCAATAAGGCTCACTCTTGAACCAAACCACAATAAATGTGAGGAGGTAAGCCGTACAACTCTGAAAGTTTTAAAGAGGGCGTTGAAAGGAAAGCCAAGAATTCCCTCATGCCACGGGGGTTTTATTAGGTAAGAGCAGGGCTGTCTGAGCTGATGGGTTGCCTGAGAGCACCTCCCAAATTCCATGTACAAAAGCCAAACAGATTAAGAACCAAATCTGACTTCAGGTGGAACGCCATCTTCTATGCTGCACCCAAAGGCAGAGGGCTAGCTTAGGGGGTACAGAGCAAGTCAAATGGCATGCCTTGACCTGTCTGTTTCTCACCCCCCCCCCGTCCCACAAGGATACGCCATCTGAGGTGTTTGCTTCACTTTTCCCTAGTGGCAAAAAGACAGCATAGCCTAGTGATTAAGCACCGGAGTGGAGTTTGGAAGATACAGATTGTAGCCCCTGGTCCCCCATGAAAGCCTTGGCCCAGTCTCTGAGCCCATCCCACCTCACAGAGCTTTTCTGAGAGTAAAATAGAGAGGAGGGAAACCACGTGCATTACCTTGCAGGCTAGGTGGGATCTATATAACGAAGAAATAAGTAAATACAGCAATAACTCTTTCTTCCACAGTTCGTAGGTCTCACCGAGGACAACAGTGCCAAGAAGAGAACTCGCCCAGACTTGTGAGGGTGCTGCAGCTCAGTCCTTCTCCTGCCCCCTGCGATGTTCAGAGGAAGGACTGCCTGCTTTGCCGCTTTGCATGGCCCACATCTCTAGCTCCTGGGCTGGGCCGCCTCTTATGTGCCACGCATTTACATGGTGTACATGCCAAAGGACCGCTTCTGTTTCCTACCTGCCTGTGTGTGATTAGACGTGCCCCGAAGTTTGCCAGTAAGGTGTCAAAAGCCCATCTGGAGGAACCAAAGGAAAATATTAACCCATTCTCCTTTCTGTGAAAATGCCTCTGGGAACTGAAGTAATAAGCAACTTATTTAGTAAAGGTTGACTGACCACAGTGGAGGGGAGAAAAAGAGGAAGGAAACAACCCTGTTGTTCCCTTTGGCTCCTGCAGAGGCTTCTTGGTTCACTCTTTTCCACCCTGTTCTTGTGAGTGGCCCTGACCCATATATTCTGCATTTCCTGTCTCCCACCCTCAGAGTCACCATTCCCATGGAGAAAGTGCAGCACCAGTAAGTAGATTGTGAAGCCAGTCAACCTGACTGAAGTCTTAGGAGAGATGCCCGCCATCAGACAGCCAAGGCTACCTTTTCTAAAACTGGAAATGCCAGCTGCGGTCTCTGGAGAGAGGCTATGCACAAGAGATCCAAGTCCGGGTTTGGAGGAAGTAAATTGAGGGGAGAAGGGGTAGACGATTCAGGCAACACGTCTGGAAAGGGTTCGGGAACCTTCGTATGGAACCAACCTGGGTTTTGACAACAGTTGTGGGAAGGATTGAAGATATGCCTATTTGTATATGTGGGCAATTATGAAGTTATGCTTTTGGATCTGAGTGCTATTATATGGACATCTGATTACAGTGTGCGTTAATTTATTCTATAACATTTCTGTGCATTTCCACCCAAATGATGTTGGTATGAAATTATTTGGTACAAAATATTACACAAATATAATTATAATTACACTTTGTATGCATACACTAAGCATTCACACTATTCAGTATACACAGATGTGTACAATCAAGATGGATAAATACATAGAAAAAGTCAGATTTTTGTTGTTGTTTCATTTGAGCCCGGGCTAACTAGGACTTAACCCCCAAATTCCCTTTTCCATGCCTGGACACCACTTGAGTCATAAAAAAATGATAAAAAGAAAATTCATAAAAAGAAAATTCATATGAGATTAAGAAGAATGAACTACTGGGACAGATAAGTTGAATATTTTGTATTAATTAAGCCCAGGCATTTCCTTTTGTGCATAAAACGTACAAATGGCTTTTGTGTGTATATTGTAAAGATAACACAAGCACCATGCATTAGAGTAGGCTCTCATTTACAGACATACGTGAATTAAAGTTTCCCTGCATAGGCAAAAACTTCAGAAGACCACTGATCAAAATCCAGAATTAACAGGAAGGCAATACCTTTATGAGAACCAAGTAAAATTTCACAAAAGCATGCAACCTTTCTGGTTTTCCAGACCTCATTTAAGCTAGGAGCTTTTAAAAAAATACAGAAGTCATGTTATACCTATTGTCTTGTTTTTCATAAGCTTTTCTGTGTCCGAGCACACTTCTTCAGAGGAATGGAGTGGCTGTGCCTCTGGTGGGAAGTATAAAATTGTTGCAGTTTAAAACCTATTGGCAACCATTTTAAAGTGACTACAGCTTTAAACTCCCCCAGAGACATTGCCACTGAAGAAGTATTCTGGGACACACAAAAGCTAATGAACTATGAATAGCTGCTACATGACTTCTGGTTTCTCTTTTGCTACAACAGATTGATGCAGCTATCTTCTAGATTATTGGAAAAACATACTTTTCTGTATGTTGTGGGCAGGGGAGGTGGACAGAGAAGTCCAAAAATGTAGCTTAATGTTTCTGTGGCCATGAGATTTACTCAATCCTGAGACAGAAATTTTACCCTGGATGAGTCACTGGCAGGTATTCAGTTACACGTATTGGTAAATTTGGGGGCTAGAAAAGAAATGATGGGTTGATATTTCTCAAAGCATTCTCAAGATCTGCCTCTTGTTCTAGGTCAGAACACATGGTTCCCAAAGTGGAACAGAGACCAAATGCAGATGAAAAGCATAGTCAGCAAAGCTGACCATTAAACTTTCTGTGAAAGCAGAAACATGAGTTTTGCACATCCTCAGTAGATTTCTATAGATATGCTAGGAATGTACTTACAGCACCTAGTGTGGGGGGTTGGACATGAGTGACCAGGTGTTACTGGACTGCTGGTCCCATCAGTTTTCACTAGCACAGCCAGTGAAGGGATGATGGGAATTGAAGTCTAGAGTTTAAAGGACAGATTTCTTCATCACTCATCTAAAGGCTACTAAGCCTGGAAGCAGATCTTTTTAAGAAGCTTAAAGTGGGTTCATAACCTGTGATGAATATAACTGCATACAGCCACAGAGAACAGAATCACTTTCTCCTATGAACTCCCATACAACAGATGTTATTTCCTTCTGCAAGGATATTGGAAAATCGCAGCTGGAATTATTTTTCTCCTTTAAATGAAATGTGGGGTATGAGGGTGATGATTGAGAGGAAGGAACGTTCATCTCTAGCATTGATCCCATGTTCGGACACAGCTGCTCTTTCCACTTCAAAACTGTTATTAAACATAGGCTGACATTATGCTGTCTATATGGGGCGGAAAAATCCAAGCTCCCCCTTCATCCAGTTAAGGTCTATAGGATTTAAAATCGGCAATGTTATTATTGGACATGGGGTAGGGAGAAAAAACATGTCTCCCCATCCCTGGCAATACAAATAAAATATGAAAACAGAGTCAGCAATGAATAATTTTCTACTTTTTGTGACTCCCCCAAACCTGCCTATAACTTCTGTCTCAGATTGTGTCTTCCAGCTCAACTGGAAGGAGGAAAAATGGGCACAATAAAGATACCTCTCCTCACCACACACCAAAGTGGTTGCACTTTGAAGGAAGATGCCATTTTCATCAGGAAAACAATATAAAGGAGGTAAAGGATTTAACAACCATCTCATACTGGTTCTGCTCCAACAAAAATTTGGAGTGCAGCCTAAATCTCCATTTAAGCTGGGGATTTGGGGGAGGGGGCGCGAGGCAGGATTCTGCCCCTTCCTTAAATCTTCAGGATTCTACATCACATCTGTCTATTATTTTTATTTCTAATTATTTTTCCTCCAAGGAACTCAGGACAACATACATGGGCTTCCTCTTCTTTACCTGATCATTATGTGATCAGGTACTCCACCTTGATTCCACCTTGTATGGTGGAATAGGTTTTGAAATCTATGGTCATCCCAAAAGGTTTCACAGCTAAGTCCAATATGAAGCCACATATCCTGTGTTTTGGCTTTGGCCAATGTTCTGATCCTACTTCCCCTTATAAACTTTAAACATCTTCCAGGTGGATTCTGGCAACTGATCATCCACCACTAACTTCCCTCCCCACCATTGATTTAATGGAGGCTGTTCTAACATTCTCCTTCACTACCACTTGACCATTTGGCATGTCCAGAGGTTGAAGGCTGCAATTCGGGCTGGATTAAGACCTTCAGAGGCTCTAAGCCCTGAAAAGATTATGGTGCAAGTCCATAGTCTTTGGAAAAAGACATATAATGTACACGTTATACTGCATGAAAATACAGTAATGTAATTGTACAGTATGTGGCAAAAAAGAACCACGCATCATATGCAAAATCATACGTACAATCAAATTTACGCTTTCACACTTTGATTTATGTAGACAGACTTCAGCAGAATCTGTAAACTGAAAAGCTCAAACAGTACAGTATGTAGCAAAAAAGAACCACACATCATATGCAAAATCATACGTACAAACAAATTTGCGCTTTCACACTTTGATTTATATAGACAGACTTTGTCAGAATCTGTAAACTGAAAAGCTCAAACAAGAACTTAAAAACTCCTTGGGGGCGTTTTTAACTGTGGCCTTTATTTCTTTGGCTTGCACATATAGTGCAGAGGCCATAGGTCTAAAAGACCAGCAGCTCTTTTTATCCTTATTCCAACTCAATCTCCCAAAATACAGAACTAAACAAACCCAAACAAGTCACTAAGTGATGATGATGACTGATGATGATGATGATCAATCATTTCACTCAAAACATGAGTCTTCTCTCCAGGTGACTCTATTTTTAATTAAAAAAAAAAGTTTTTACTGGTTCATAGTCAATTGCTATAGGGTAGGGAGGTGGTTTTCTTGGGGCTCTTGAGGAAGGGAGAGAGCCCAGGTATTTGGATGGACGGACGTGGTTTGCACCAAGTGCACCATTTGCACCATGGTCCATGGTAAATCTGGCACAGGAAAAAAACAACAACTGTGGTGCCCCCTTCCCTTGTTGATGCCCTAAACCACATGCTTATTTTACTTAATGGTTAATCTAGGGCTGGCTGCAATCACCTGTATTTTCTGTGCTTGCCTGGACCGCCCTATGCCCTGGAAGTCTTCAGCTGCTCCTTTTCCCCTAGCACCAAAAGGTTCCTGTTGCCGGAGAAAAGGAAGCTGTAAAAACTAGAGGCCCAAAGCTAACAAGACATTAGCTTTTACACTGATGAACATGCTTGTGCCTGGAAGGATTCAGAGCTGACACTGTTAATAAAAACAGGATGGCAGGAATGTGTAGGTGAGCTGAGTTATATTCCTAACCACTGTTCTAGCACCAGTTTCCCACACCAAATGCTTTTGTGTACAGTTTCTTTGCTAAAGGTTGTCAGGTCAAATTCTGGAGACCCTGCATGTCCTTTTTAACAACTCACTAGCAGTAAACAAGATGTAACACAGCTTCTCCCATCCTCTGCCTACAATCTCCATTGTCTGCTGGAACAAACTGGATATGTACTTTATATACATACTGTTGCAGGGACTTGAATTCCTGGTTAAAATTCCTTTTGTTAATACAGTAGAAGCACAGAGATGCACAGAAGAGAATAGTTACAAGTGGCCAAGAGTCCACCCATTTTCCCAGGGGTGGCACCTACAGTCTCAATAACTCCCTTTGAGACATTTGTAATAGAAAGAACAAAAAAAATTTCTTTACTTACAGTTGCTTGAAAATTGGAGACTCGGGCATGCTCTTTTCTTTACTGCACATGAATACTGGCAACCAACTGAACAGATCAACAGTAAATGAACAATTCTTCTTCAAGCAGACTAAAGAGAAGGAAAGAACACTCAGCAGAGAGGTGGGAAGGAGGCATCGTGCAAGGTTGTAAAAACTCTAGCGTACACAGTAGTGAAGAATCCCAGGGAAGAATAAAGAAACCACTTGAGTACATGAACATTTTTTTTTTTTTTACTGCTTGGAGGTTAGGCATGATCCTTAGACTGCAGCCAAAGAAAACAAGCATTGTATAATTGTATAATTGCATTTTATACGTTGTTTTAATGTGTTTTAACTTATGTAAGAATGTGTAGGTGAGCTGAGTTATATTCCTAACCACTGTTCTAGCACCAGTTTCCCACACCAAATGCTTTTGTGTACAGTTTCTTTGCTAAAGGTTGTCAGGTCAAATTCTGGAGACCCTGCATGTCCTTTTTAACAACTCACTAGCAGTAAACAAGATGTAACACAGCTTCTCCCATCCTCTGCCTACAATCTCCATTGTCTGCTGGAACAAACTGGATATGTACTTTATATACATACTGTTGCAGGGACTTGAATTCCTGGTTAAAATTCCTTTTGTTAATACAGTAGAAGCACAGAGATGCACAGAAGAGAATAGTTACAAGTGGCCGAGAGTCCACCCATTTTCCCAGGGGTGGCACCTACAGTCTCAATAACTCCCTTTGAGACATTTGTAATAGAAAGAACAAAAAAAATTTCTTTACTTACAGTTGCTTGAAAATTGGAGACTCGGGCATGCTCTTTTCTTTACTGCACATGAATACTGGCAACCAACTGAACAGATCAACAGTAAATGAACAATTCTTCTTCAAGCAGACTAAAGAGAAGGAAAGAATACTCAGCAGAGAGGTGGGAAGGAGGCATCATGCAAGGTTGTAAAAACTCTAGCGTACACAGTAGTGAAGAATCCCAGGGAAGAATAAAGAAACCACTTGAGTACATGAACATTCTTTTTTTACTGCTTGGAGGTTAGGCATGATCCTTAGACTGCAGTCAGAGAAAACAAGCATTGTATAATTGTATAATTGCATTTTATACGTTGTTTTAATGTGTTTTAACTTATGTAAAGTTAAATTATGTAGGAGGGACGTGGTGGCGCTGTGGGCTAAACCGCAGAAGCCTGTGCTGCAGGGTCAGAAGACCAAGTAGTCGTAAGATCGAATCCACATGACGGAGTGAGCGCCCGTCATTTGTCCCAGCTCCCGCCAACCTAGCAGTTCAAAAGACTACTGTAGTTGGCCAAAGTGATAAGAAAGGAGATTCCAAGTAAACATTAGGAAGACCATCCTGATAGCAAGAGTTGTTTGGCAGTGGAACAGACTATTTTGGAAGGTGATGGACACTTCTCTGTTAGAAGTTTTTTTAAAACAGAAGTTGTACCGCCATTGTCAGGGATACTCTAGTTGTGGATTTCCTGCTTCTGCCAGGGGTTGGACTAGACGAGATTTGGGATCATTCCATCTTTACCATTCTATAATCCTATCAACTCTATCTTTGCAGAAGTGAGAAGTATGCACATAAGTGGGGAGAGGAATCTCACCTGCACTGCTGTAGCATTTGACTCCAGCCTAAAAGAGCAGCTGTATTTCACTTTACCATTCTGTAATCCTATCAACTCTGTCTTTGCAGAACTGAGAAGCACGCACATAAGTGGGGAGAGGAATCTCACCTGCACTGCTGTAGTATTTGACTCCAGCCTAAAAGAGCAACTGTATTTCAGTGGCAGGGTGGTAAAATCTGACATATAGGCAGTCCTTGTGGCAGTCCCGAAATGTAAGTAACTGTGTTGGTGCATATTATCAAACCAGCTTTAGCAAGAGCAGGTTTGTTGTAAAGCTGATGGATCTTAATTGCCTGTCAAAGAGCAAATTGCCCCACAACACTTGTGTTACATGAGATAGACTCGCCCTAGATAGCATATGAGAGTTTTCATGTGGCCAGCATCAAGTTAT